TGAGCGAGTGAGAAAGAGGCGTCAGGTGACGGAGGACAAAACCATCTTCTTTCCGCTGGAGCTGACAGACTTCGATTACGGAAATCGGGTGTTGGGTCTCATCGAGCAGGGGCTGGGGGAGGTGAGGGAGAGGAGAGCAGGACAAGGCGGGAAGTAGCTCCGGGCGCTAGTGATGCACTGCTTGTACTCGCTGCACTGCTTGTACTCGCTGCACTGCTTGTACTCGCTGCACTACTTACACTACTTGTACTCGCTGCACTACTTGTACTCGCTGCACTACTTGTACTCGCTGCACTGCTTGTACTCGCTGCACTGCTTGTACTCGCTGCACTGCTTGTACTCGCTGCACTGCTTGTACTCGCTGCACTACTTGTACCCTGCACTACTTGTACTCGCTGCACTGCTTGTACTCGCTGCACTACTTGTACTCGCTGCACTGCTTGTACTCGCTGCACTGCTTGTACTCGCTGCACTGCTTGTACTCGCTGCACTGCTTGTACTCGCTGCACTGCTTGTACTCGCTTGATCCTCTCGGCAGGTTCATGTGGCCATGGTGGAGCTTTCACTCGCGACTCCTGTGGTATCAGATGGAGTCCTTGTCCCCAGCAGCCAAGTGTCTCTCTCCCAGCTCCTTCGCCACCTCGAAGACGCGCATGTGGCCAAGGAAGTCACCGAACGTCGCATGTGAGCATCTGACGAAGAAGCAGGCCTTCAGCTCCCGCATGCTCATGGACGAGCAGGACTTTCGGGAAATGATGAAGAGACTTCAACAAGCACTTGCAAGCATGTCCAACAAGTCCAAAATCCTGCAAGACCTAAATCACGTGAGTCTGCTCCCTCCCTCTCCTCCCCTCCCTCCTCTTTTGTCCCTCCTCTCCCTCTTCTCCCTCCCTTCCTACCTCACTTCCTACCTCACTTCCGCCATAGACTGACCAGCCCTTGAGTGCCAAACAGATCAGCTCTTCGACCTGGGCTTGCAGGTAGCACGACTGCTCTCTCGGCATGGCTGAGAGGAGAGCAGATCCTTGGAGCAGGGTCAAGAGCTAGTCTCTGCTGCCAGACATCCCAACAGCTCCTGCAGTTGAAGACGCGCTGGACCCGGCATCGCAGTTTTCGTCAGGAGAGGATGAAGAGGTTGATGGAGGTCTTGCCCTCCGACGCTTGTGGTCCATGCGAGGAGCAACTGGTGAAGCTCAAGAAGAGGATCGCCAAGGTGATGGGCTTGTGGCTCGAGAGTTTCAGTGACCGGAGTCTCTCAGCTGAAGAGCCTCCCTGCCTTCTCCCACCGAGAGCAGCTTGACCACATCTGGAAGAGAGTGCACGACCTCGCGGAGGAGAGGTCTTTTCTGTCAGAGACTCTATATCAAAGCCGCGAAGAGGAGCGTTATCACGTGCGAGCCAAGAAGGTGGGAGGGGAGGCGCGTCAGCTGAGGGGAGGCGCGTCAGCTGAGGGGAGGCGCGTCAGCTGAGGGGAGGCGCGTCAGCTGCGGTGACGCTCTTGCTCTAGTGGGATCAAGCTCAGATGAACAAGCACGCGCAAGACTTGGAGATGCTACCCAGGATCGAACAAGTCAGCGAGAAGCTCGCAGAGGTATGGGCCTCCATCAGACCAGCCGAGCTGCAGGAGAGCGAGGAGAGAGCTGGGTATCGCGAGTGCATAGAAGAGTTTGTGGAGAGAAGAGACTACGTGTCTGCCAACGAGATGTCGAGAAGGCTGGAGGGTGAGGAAGCTCATAGCCTGGTCGCCTACTGATCTTGTGCAGACATGCAGGCAATGAGAGACAGACAGCAGGCCAACACCTTGATGGCTCGCTTGTTCCAGAGAGCTGGGGAGAGAGGAGGAGTCGTGAGCTCGAGCGATGTGATGCTTTATGTGTGAGGTCATGGCAGATCCGGGCCATGACGGAGGTTGTCAAAAGAAGCGACCCTCGCTCTCTCCCAGACGAGCCTCTCTTCGACGAAGACTTGCTGGTGTTCCTGCTAGACAAGCAGTTGGAGGTTCTGCGGGAGAGGTGGGAAGGTGTCATCTTTCATGAGTGACATGCTGGGGAAGGTCGAGAACGTGGAGGCTCGACTATGAAGCAGACCCCGCACAGGTTCTCTCGTCCTCTCAGACTCTATCCCGACATGTCCAGCAGGTTGACGAGCTGATCGCAAGAGTAAGTCATCTTGATCTATTCTTACATTCCATCTTTCTTACATCTACTCTTACGATGTATTCTTACATTCGTCATCGTTGACATGACAGCCGTGAAGCTAAACGAGCATGTCAGGTCGAGAACTATCAAGCGCTCCTCTCTTGGAGGTTGTCAGCGCTGGAGCGACTGCAGGAAGCAGAGGAAGCTGTGGAAGTGTGACTGGCTGTCCCAGCACCCCAGCAGCTGATCCCCTCGTAGAGCATGCGAGCTGTCGTCGAGGAGCTTCTCGTCCCCTCGCACGGAAAGCTCTCGAGGGTGACGGCCGCGAGGATTGTGAGGCTTGTGTCTCCTACTCATGTGAGGTCCTCACCTCTTTCAGCTTGAGCATCTCTCCTTTGACCTCTCGCGCCTTCGCCGCCTCCTTCTGCATCGCGACAGCCTCTTGGCCCTCGCGGATGACCTGGTTCGCTGATGCTTCCCAGCCTCCTGGTGGCCAACACGCTTATGCAGGAGGACGCGAGCAGAGGCGGTCAGAAGCCAAGGCATGCGGTGTGGGGGGCTGAGGGCTGGAGAAGCTGCAAGGGATGGATGATGACAAGCATCGGAGGATGGGGCAAAGACGAAGGAAACTTCAAGAGCCCTTGCGGCCTCGCCTTCAGGCGCGACCCTCTTCCTCTCCTCCTTCCCTTCTCCTCTTCCTCTCCTCCTTCCCTTCTCCTCTTCCTCTCCTCCTTCCCTTCTCCTCTTCCTCTCCTCCTTCTCTTCTCCTCTTCCTCTCCTCCTTCCCTTCTCCTCTTCCTCTCCTCCTTCTCTTCTCCTCTTCCTCTCCTCCTTCCCTTATCCTCTTCCTCTCCTCCTTCCCTTCTGCTCTTCCTCTCCTCCTTCCCTTCTCCTCTTCCTCTCCTCCTTCCCTTCTCCTCTTCCTCTCCTCCTTCCCTTCTCCTTCTGCTTCTCCACTCCTCCTCCCTGCTTACTCACTGTTCTGTAGCCCGACAGGTCAAGTCCTGGTAGCGGATCGCGGGAATCATCGGGTGCAAATCTTGTCCGACAACGGCAGGTAGAGGTCGCCTGCTGCTTCTGGAGCAAACGCGCTTGTGGTGAAGGGTGCTCAAGGCCTTCGCGAGTCGAGGCTCAGGAGATGGAGAGCTGGAGAGCCCAAGCGGGGTAGCTGTGAGTGAAGACGGAAGAGTGCTGGTGGCTGATCGAGGGAACAATCGTATCTCCGTGTTCAACATGGAGGGGCGTTGGCTCTATCGTGAGACCTCCGTGTTCCTTTCCTGTCGGCCATCTCCTACGCTCTCTGCCTCCCCTCGCCAGCTGCTACAACATACATGACGACTGTCCTGTACACTCACTGAGCATGCAGACATAGGGAACGGGACGGGAGTAGAAGCAGGGGAGATGCAGGGGCCTTGCGGGGTGAGGAGACGATGGCTGCGGGCAAATAGTGAGAGGCTGCAGGTGGCGACAAGCAGGAGGAACGAAGTCCTGGTGGCGGACTGCGGGAACCATCGCGTCCAAGTGTTCACGCTAGACGGAAACTTGAAGCGAATCATGGGGGAAGGGCTGAGATATCCCATCTGTGTGGCGGCGAGGAAGAGCGGGGAAGTGCTGGTCACAGAGAGAGGAGGAAGCAGCGTCAAGGTCTTGTCGCCCGACGGGAGGGTGAGTTGTGCTGATGCTGGTGGTGAAACTCATCAGGGCTTCAGCTCGTTGCTTCGCTTCCCCTCGCCGCAAGTCGACAAACTCGCAACGAGTGAGCGCCATGAGCAGAGGAAGAGGAGAAAGCCAATGACTCGCCAGCCAGGTTTCACGTCTGTGCCATGGGCGAGAGGATAGCAGTGTCTGACGCAGCAAGTCACGTCGTGCGTGTGTTGGATGCCGGGAGCGGAGAGGTGCTTTCGCAGCTGCTGCTGCAGCACCATGACACCTCCCTCATCTCTCCTAATGCTCTCGCCGCCTATGACGATAGTCTGATCGCCCTCGCCGACCATGCGAGGCACAGCATCGTGTTTGTACAGGAAGAGAAGTAGAGACATCGCTGGTTTACAAGGAAGGGGTGAGATGCTGCTGGTAGCTGATGACTTTGACTCCTGTCCCAACCACGGCAACTCTGAGAACATCTGTCCTACAACCGAATGAGAGGCACAGCACCTCTGAGCATGAGAGCATGTCTTACCTTCGATGAGCTGACATCGGCATGCGAGCACGAACCTGTTCAAGGAGGGAGAAGTCCAAGTCGGCAACGACAACGCCAGCAGATTCGGAACCTGCGTCTTGAAGCACCTGACCACAAGTCACTTACCCTCACGTTTTCCGCCGCAGCTCTCATCCTCTCTCATTCTCTTCCAATGATGCGCATCCGTCTCTTCCATCTTCACCTTCCCCCACGGGTCGACGATGAGCGCATGGCCGTAGCTCGACCGCTTCTCATTGTGTCTTCCGAACTGTGCTGCGGCTGCGACATAGCACTGGGTCTCGATCGCTCTTGCTCGCAGCAGCACCTGCCGGCATCTATCACACTCCTCCCCTCTCAGGCTTCCTCCTGCCTCCCAGTGCGCCTCGCCCGTGGTCGGCATGAAGGCGCTGGGGATCAGGATGAGATGTGCTCCTGCATCTCTGAGTGCGACGAAGAGCTCAGGAAACCTGAGATCGTAGCTGCAACATCGTCATGGAATGCATCCTTTGCATCACCCTTGCCAGCACCATGTTGTGATCCCGATGTTGCCAAACGGAGTGTCTTTAAGCACAACGATCTGCAGGATCGCGTCACGACATGCGGGTAATTTCGTACACAAGGACTCACTTCCTCTCCTTTATGCGTTGATCTGCTCTCCTGGAACCCTCCATCATAATCCACATCGAACAAGTGCAGCTTCCGGTATCTGAGGCTCGCTCAGTTCTAACCTCCCGCAGCTCCTCCCCCTCACGTGGCTGCGATCTGCCCAGCATCGTCTACAACGATCTGCCCATGGGGGATGACTCAGAGTTTGTTCTCACACGAGTTTTGCATCACGTGAGTGTTGTATATCTTTGGATCGTCTTTTGTCTTGCGTTCGTGGAAGCCTCCTAAGCTCAGCCACAAACCCTCGTCTCGCGCCAGCTGCAGCTAGTTGAGCTCCGTCACCTCCGCCCTCCTCCGCGTCGACCTTTCTGTACCGAGAGACGATTTCTCCCGTCAAAGGCTCTGCCATCTTCAACGCGTCGCCCGTGCCTGGGGTTCCCATGAACTCGAAGCACTCAGGGAGCGACAAGAAGGAGGCGCCCTGTCCCGACATATCAGACGACCAGGAGGAGAGCAAGGAGACTAGGGAAGGGGAAGAAGAAACACAAGCACCTGCAAGCGAGCAAGTTGGCACAGCCTCTTGCTCTCTGCCATGTTCGCCTCCACGTCACTCGTCGATCGCATCTGACCGACCGCGATCCGAGCTGCTGCATGTCGCAACATCCGCCTGACCAAGTTGTTCCAGTCGCAAGAGTCGCAGATAATCAATTGGGGCCCGGCGGCGCCGGCCGGCGGCGGCCCGGACGGTCTCGGCCCGGCCCCGAGATCGGATGACTCCCTTAGTCACCAGTAGGGCCGCTGGCTCAGCCTGCTCTTCAGGCTGCTGGGTGCATCAGCATCTGTTGATTATGCGGTACAAGCGGTCCCGCCCAGTGCTCTGCGTACTGGTTGCATAGCCCGTCCGGAGAGCTCGCCGTCACTGTCAAGCATCCGAAGAGAGGCTGCAGAAGCCGGCTCTCCATCCATCACTGCCAGTGACACCAGCACTGCTGGCAACTGTCAGCAGACTCGACCCGGCACTGCCAGCCCACGCGCGAAGCGGAGGGCATATGCAGCGCGATGTTTGCGAATCTTCTCCAACGCTGCAACATGGAGGGCGTCAGGCACTTTTTACCTTCTGCCAGTAAATCTCCTTTGGCGTCCGCCATCAAGCCCTCGTACTGCTCGGACCCTAAAGTGCCCCAAGCAGAAGAAAGCAGCATGCTTGAGGCACTTTTTACCTTCTGCCAGTAAATCCATTGTCCGGAACACAGCAACAAACGCACTGCGGCACGAAACACAAGACCGAAAGTAACCAGTGGCTCAGGTCCGCTCAGGAAAATGAGCGAAGAAGATGGTGGTGGACTGCAAGTGCAAGACCCTATCCTGCGGCTGTGCAAGGTGTGGATATCACGCTTCTGATCGGTAAGCGCTGCTTTCTTCTGCTTTAGGCACTTTTTACCTTCTGCCAGTAAAACTCAGCGCAGCACGAGCATGGACATGGCAATGAACATCCGCATGACAAGAGGAGTCACATTGCGCCGCGCAGGCGGAGGAATTTACTGGCAGAAGGTAAAAAGTGCCTCAAGCAGAACAAAGCAGGAATAAGCTAAACCTCCAGGCACACAGCGCACAGCGAGAAGCTGCACAAACACACACAAAACACAAGCCATGCATCGCCAGCCCAAGCGCGAAGCCGCGCAGACAAGCAGCCTAAGCTTTGTGGCGGCAGCGGACGTCTCGACTGACAGTGGTCAGTCGGCTGCCTCCGGGTATCGCGTCTAAGGGATTTTATTCCTCCTGCATGCTC